ACTACGACTTAGACTAGAGACAGAGCAGGTCGTCGGCATCACTGCTTTCATCGAGCACACAATTGTCCAACGATTAAAACATTAACAGTGACTAATGCATCACTATATAGTACATTAATCAATGATATGTAACATTTTGTTACTACTGTTACATCAGTATGCATGAATCGCTTGATTCTCTGGCCGGCAGATGTCGATCATGTATGGTGCAAGTCAACTCACTGACAGACTATGCAGGCAGGCAGCCAGCCTCGGAGACAGCAGGGTCCTGAGGACATCACTGCCACCCGGCACTGTGTAGTCAGCATGTCATGCTGGGTAACCGTTTTGAATCCAAGTTGCGCACACTACCGCTGAGGTCTCAAATCGGACAGTCTAGCTCTGCTGGCTAGATCGTCGAATTCAAAATCCCCTAAACACACGCAAACCCGGCACTCTGCCTTCCCCAAGATCCGTGATACTGTCGCGGAGGCTGTACAAACACGACAAATCATTGATTCAGTGACGACAGCCATTCGTCTGTCACATTGAAATATAAAATTCCTGGCACTCTGCCTTGCCTAAAATCCCGCAAAAGTCTCGGAAACAGTACGAACATGATCTGTTCATTGATATGGAAGGCTGCTCGAAAGACTTGCCCACGCTCTTTAGAATCCAGAAACATCCACAATGTCGAAAAGGACTCCTCTAGCATCTCGTCGAACGGAATCACATAATCATCGTCGTCAGCACTGTCCGCGACCGAGCCCGCAGTACTTGCACCCTCATCGTCAACCAGAACCCAGTCCGAGCCCACAGACTCACTGTCACTCCACGACATCGACGACATCTGCCGGCTTGCAGGGGGGCCTACTACGACTTAGACTAGAGACAGAGCAGCTGTAACACGACTATAGTAGATTACGCAGGGCAACAGCGAGCACAACTGCTGCAGCGGCAAGTTGCGATACATGACACGCTCACTGACTATGCAAGGCAGCTTGTCCTCTGCGATGGCAGCATGTCCTCGGGATCCTCGTCATGAGCCTCGGTGCCAGGACTGTACCATAATAATGGAAGTAGCTGAAGCAAGCTGATGCTGAGATCCCAGCAGTTGGCATCCACTTCTCGATGGGCTGGAAGCCGATGAAGACCGATGGGAGAGAAGGAAATGGAAGAGAAGGCGTTCACTAGGCTTGGATTCAAACCGAACACTTAGACCTGGCCAACGGTGTGGGGAGCAACCCCGATGGGGCAGGGACTTAAGTAAGGCAACCTCGAGAGGCTCGACTGGCACTCTGCCTCTGTCGATCCAAGTCGCAAGGCTCCCTAACTAACGTGACAAGCATGGATGGCCTCCCCTCCTGGTTGGGAGAAAAATAAAAAAGCCACAACCACTGGACCACCCCACCCGGCACTTTAGCCCATGTGCCCGGGTGTCATATGCCACTGCCCTGGCACGTTGGCCCCAAGGCGGTCCAGGTACCATCGACAACACCTGACACCCGGCCAACGGTGTCCACGAACCGAGATGGGCAGTCGATCCGTGTGGGTAAGGTGGCACTCTGCCTCTGTCGATCCAAGTCGCAAGGCTCCCTAACTAACGTGACAAGCATGGATGGCCTCCCCTCCTGGTTGGGAGAACAAATCAAGCCGCAACCACTGGACCACCCCACCCGGCACTTTAGCCCATGTGCCCGGGTGTCATATGCCACTGCCCTGGCACGTTGGCCCCAAGGCGGTCCAGGTACCATCGACTCAGCACCTGACACCCGGCCAACGGTGTCCACGAACCGAGATGGGCAGTCGATCCGTGTGGGTAAGGGCAAGGTCTCAAGGCAAGTCAACATGTCACTACGGCCTCCCTTCTTTGTTCAATCACAACCCAAAACTATTTAAAAAGATTAAATTTTAAAAATTATTAACTTCAACAACAAATAAACAACAATTTTGTAGACATACAGCAGCAGGAAACCAGGTAGAACAACAGGAAGCCAATTGACTCACTCAGAAACAAAATTCACAAACATGTATTTTTTACACCAAAAATAAAATAAAAGAATTTTAACAACTGTAAAACACAAAAAAACCTATTTAAAAAACTTTTAAATACAAAACAATACTTTTAAATACAAAAAAACACTTTTAAACACAAATAAAGCCAACCACATACAAAAATGAGATTTTGGGTTCCTTTCATATAAGCCTTGTTGATCTAAACCCTGTGGTTCTGGTTCGGCGCAAAGGGTTAAGGATTAACCGAACCCTAAGCCCTGACCATAGAACCCTGAAAGTAAGCCTCTGTGACAGGCCCCTTGAACCCTAAACCAAACCCTACTCTAACTGCTAAGGCCCCTATATCATAGAACCCTGAAAGTACTCTAAATGATAAGGCCCCTTCCCCGAACCCTAAATCCATTAAAACCCTACACCATAGAACCCTGAAGGTAAGTCTCCGTGACAAGCCAGGGATCGGTCGAGAGGATGGCCTGGCGGCGATCGTAGACGCCCACCTGATCCTCGGCTTACTTTGGGGTTTATAGGGGTTTAGGGTTTAGGGGTTTAGGGTTTAAGGGGGGGGGCATTAATAACTAGAATAGGGTTGCTACAAGGGATCTATAGTAGGGTTCTCTAATACGGGGGCCCATTATACTATAACTATAAGAAGGAACCGTCAAAATAGTATAGGTAGTCATGAAGGCGCCTATATCACATTCCTGGTACAGGCTCAGGGCTTGGGTTCTCAATTTCCTGCAAGTTTGGGTTTAGGGTTTGGGCTCTAGGGTGGTTCCGAACTCATGGCAGCAGGGAATCTAGACAGAATTGGGAGTGCGAGCAGTCGTGCACGTGTACGCGGACAGATCCTTCTGTTGAGGCTGAGGTCTCAATGCTTCTCGCCCTGCCACGTTGCCTGCCTACGGCTTTTTGCATAAGATTGTCCTGAAAGCCTGAGCCTTTCCCGCTGCCTTCCTCCGGGAGTTCCCGAAAACAAGGGACCGTAATATAGCACCCTAAATAGTAGGATCATTTATTTTTGGACCGCAAAATAATTAAGTTACCCCTAATTATCGGAAACTCCCATCTGAAAGCCGAGACTGGAAGGGCTAGAAATGGTGAACCCTGAAGAATGGGACGGCTGCCACAAGAACGACACTCCAAGCTTACGACCAACCTGGAAGGCCCTAGCCTAAACAACCTGAAACCCTTCTTCTTGAGGGTTTAGGGTTTAGGGTTTAGGGTTTAGGGGTTTAGGGTTTAGGGTTTACGCTCTCACAACTCGGACACAGCCAGGCGAGGTTCTTAGGTGCGGAGTCGGTGTGAAAAGAATTCAGGCGCGATTCTCACTTGTGCCAGTTCACCACGAAGGACACAAAAGCACATTATAGGCTAAAACGCCACAAACAAGGGCAAACTGGTACGAGAATCTACGACAGTTGCCCAGTATTCCCCAATCACCACAAGGATAAGGTTGAACACAGACTACACACGCATAAGTTCAAAGCTACAGCACCAGGAACCATCGGGTCAACTGTCCAGAGTGTACTCTGGTCTTCGACTGTCATCCAGTTTCTGACAGCAACAAGTTAAAAGGCTACATTGAACACATTGACACAACAACGTATAGACTTGACAATGCAGAACACTGGAGGACGTCGTGCAAACTACCATCATCGGTTCTAGGTCTAGATACTTCACGGGTGTACTCGTTGGGCTACTTTGAGCATGAGGGTGCAAAGCAAAATCCACTCCAGGCCTTTCTAGAAATAAATGGATAACCGGGGGCCTTTCGTGGATTCCCACAGAGCACCGAACTAGTTGTAGTGAAACTTGCGGTCTCTCATCCTCATTGTGTCCCTTGCAAGACGACTCAGCGGTGCACACAGTAGGCCTGTATGCTTCGCAGGAATTCACTCGAGGCACAAGGTTCAGATCTGGAACTGCCCATTGGCGACTGTCAGGTCTCAAGGCGCTCACGCCCATGGCACTTTTGTCACGCACTGGCCCCTCAACCTCCAGCTAGGGACTCGCGGTGTGCTTGCATTTCCCAAGCCAATACGAAAAGCCAAGCAGTGTTCGCAACATAGCCACATGAAGGCAAAGTGCCCTCGATGACATTAGTCACAATGCAGTGCAGAGCGGTGCAGTACTTCTTGTTATTGCAATGCACGACGTGATCAACATCGGTCAGCACGTGTCCGGGCACGCATGGAAACAAGAGATTCAGCATTCGCTTCAGAAGAATAGTAAGATCACAGAAAAGCCACAAGCCCAGGCCAGTGTAGTGCAAAGTAGCATGATGAACATTGTACCACGATCTGCCCAGTTTGCTTTTGTGCAGCTTCCGGGTTGATGTATTCCCGTCGAAGGTCAGCTCATATCTGGAAATGCCATGGCTCTCCGCGCGGGGCGGGGGATAGTGGTTTGATTATCAAAAGAGGGAAAGGTACTACAAAACAAACCATATCACACAATACAAGTGAAAACCGTACCCCAGAGGCAACGACAGCGCTCCCTACCGCGGACGACAGAGACAGAGGGGCCTGACAGACGGGTCCTGGCAAGTGCATCAATTCAGCAGAGGAGCACACAGCAAACACCACCCCAACACCCATACATCATCGGAAGGAGCAGTCCAGCAGCATGCATGGTCATGCATCAAAAGGTCATATCATGCATCATGCATTAAATTAACAGTCCAGCAGTGGTAGCAAGGAAAAGGCAGTGCAAGGGGGAAGTGTGCAGGCAGTGCAGCGCGCAAATGGTGGCTCGCAAGCAAGTGTATTACACACTGGGCACGCAAGAGTCATCTCACCTGCTTCAGGAGGTCTCTGAAGGCTGGGAGTCCTCAACTGGGATCGGGCTTCCCAGGTAGGCTTGCCTTTCTTTGTTGAGGGCGAGGGCTTCAAGGATCCCAAGTTGCCTGAGGTTAGGCTGTGTGAAACAATCCAGCAGAGAAGAAGATACGTCAGTACCTTCGTAGAGGAAAAACCAAGATCACAGGATCGAGAATGCGGAAGTACTCACATCTCGCTTTCGGATGCTCCTTCACCCTCCATTGCCTGGACAAGTGCCGGAAGGTGATTCGAGGTCAGAGATCTCATCGTCACCTTGTATCCTCTTTTTCCCTCTACCACTGTTCTGAGGAAGCCGACGTCGTCTAAGACCGTTGGCCTGTCTCTTTTGAAATAGGTGAAGGAGACTCCGAAACAAAACACAAGAAGTTCTCGGTTTTCCTTGTTGTCAATTGCAGCAGTAAGGGACGTCTCTCCGTCTATCATATTCGCTATGTTCGCTTCCTCAGAATTGTAGTAATAAGAGAAAAGAGTCGTGGCTCCATCGAGGATCTCCTGTTCGTCTTCCCCGATCTTACTGTTTTGATCGCTTTTCTCAATCGTCGAAGGAAGCGCAGGGTTTCCCGGGAGATCTCCATCTGTCGAATTCGCCTTTCTGTCTTTTAAGAGTATCACCGTAGCGAGAAACCAGTCTTCAGTAGAAATGAGGTAGGCCAGGACGTCCTGAGGTGTCATTTGAGATAGCGCCTCTGCTCTGTCGCCCGGAGAAAGTGTATGGGTTTCTCGGATTGTTCTCAGAATCGAGAACCTCATGAGGGCCATGTACTTTCCTTCGGTGAAGCGGTTTCTCCAGTCTGAAGTTACCTCCATCAAAGCTCTCACCAGGTTGGCCAATCCTGTGTCAATCCTTTGTCCGCTCACTCCTTTGAGCGTTTGAGAAGGTTTGGAAGAAGACCCTCCACCTCCTTTACCCTTTGACGAATCTCCTTTTGAACTTTCTTTTGCTTTTACCTTCTTTTCTTCTAGAGGCGTCGTCTCTGAACTCGGTTCGCCAGGAATTCCAGACATTCTGACTCTCGTGAATCTTTTCTCAGAAACCTTCTTCAGTGAATACTCCTCTCTCGTGGGATCTTCTTGAGCCAAAATGGCTACGGGTTTAGGGTTTAGGGTTTAGGGTTTAGGGTTTAGGGCTCATCCTTCGAGTTAAAAAGCGCCATTCAGCATACTGCAGCGTAGGCATACTGAGATTATAGGGACTACACTATGCAGAGCAACATATTCAGAGCGGCATGATTCACAATTAACTGTGCTGCGAGCCCACAGAATGTCGCCACGGCGCGGCCGAGTCGCCTCTGTTCGTCATCTGCACAAAACCTGCTGGGCTTCAAGTGCAGAGTTGAATCGGCTCCTGTTGTTGTCGGCCAATTGGAACGACAAGCAGTTTAGCCTATAATTAACCCTAAACCCTCAACTCTAAAGCTGCAGTCCTAAACTCCAAAGCACAAACACACAAACACACACAAACACACACAGACACACACACTCACACAGACACACACACAGGCACACACACACACACAGGCACACACACACACACAGACACACACAGAGACACACACAGACACACAGACACACACACAGACACACAGACACACAGACACACAGACACACAGACACACAGACACACAAACACACAGACACACAGACACACACACACACAGACACACAAACACACAGACACACAGACACACACACACACACCTAGGTCCAACGCAAGCCTGAACCAGAGACCCTACCATATCCCAAACCTCCCCGCGGGGGACTGCGGGGGGGACTGAGCCTGAGGGCGGTTCAGCTCGCAGCGCGTAGGCCGAGGTTTCGTGCGCATCAATACTTTCAGAGATCAGGAAATGGCCATAATGTTGTAGAAATGTTGAAAACATGGTTTCTGCACTTTTGTAGTAAATTGAAAATAGCACTCGCGATCGTACCGAAAGTAACACGCCTGTCACACGAAACAGGGTTTAACATAGGATTGATAATCTACTGAAGCAACGAATTCTGTGACATGACATGCCCTGATACGATGTGATAGATCATGACATGAAACGAGATGTGCTGATAATGGCATGTCCCACGACGAGGTGCTTTGGCAGATTCTACATCTTGCGTTAAGTCGTGTTACGCGTGACAGACGTGGTACTTCCGGTATGATCGCCAGCGCTACTTATTTTCAATCTGGTACTACTTGCTGCTTAAGAGCATCATCATACTGCATCTTGAAATACAGAGCGTCATCACCCCGCCCCCCCACCCATCCACACACCCAGAAGAAGAAGAAGAAGCAATAACAAGGCACAGAAATCTCCCCCGATGCCCCAACCTTATTCCTAAACCCTGATCCCTAATCCCCAAACCTACACCCTTTTTCATCGGGCCTTTACCACCGCCCCTAAACCTTGATCCCAACCGACACCCCCAACCTCTCAACCCTCTAAACCAAAAGCACCCTAACCCTTTTTGCTTTCAGGCCTCTTCGAACTGCAGGGTACCACAAGAAACCCTGCACCCCTAAACACCTAAACCCTGAACCCCTAAAGCCTGAACCCCTATACGCCTACACCCTAGACCCTAAACCCTACTAAGCCCTAAACACTCCAAAACCTCTCCACCCCGAGAGTATCAGAGCTGCAGTGCCTCGCCGTGCGCCCAAGGCCACCCGCAGCAGAGAAATCCGGTGGCACCTGAGGAACTATAAAAGGAACCATAACAGGCTTCCTTGAAAGGGATTTATGTCTTTTGTGGAGTTTCTACAAGGGAACTATAATAAGGGCTCGTTTCTGGGGAAACATAAGGGTCCGGGCTCCGACTGCCAAGGGCTTTGTGGGTTTAAGGCTTTGGGTTTAGGGCTTCGGAATTCCAGTTTCAAGTTCAGGGTGTGAGGCTCGAGGCTTCGGGAGTAGAGTTGGGGGTTCAGGGTTTAGCGAAGTTTAGGGTTCACAGGGATTTGGGGTTTAGAGGCTAGGATTGGAGTTTGAGGTTCAGGGTTAAGGATAGAAGGCAAAGAACCCACTAACCGTCGTTTGAGGGCAATCATCTGCAGATAGCCAATCAGAAGCGCTGTGTCGCTACGTGCGCCAATGCCTCCACCCCGCAACCCATCTCACGACACCTGCAACCAAAACACGCCATTGCTACTGCCCACACTTATCATCGAGTTCACTTTGGTTCTCTCTGTCGCATACGTTTGCAGAGGCTAAAGCTTCGGTTTAGCAATACCAACTTAGGACTTCGGGTCTGTCGCTGTTGATCTCATTCAGGCGCCTGTCGGCGTTTTGAGCGACATTTTGCACAAGTTCCTCGAAGGCCGCATCACTTGGCTCCAGAACCAGAACCTGCCGTTGGAAGGGCTCTCGAGCTTGGGATCTTATGCCCCTATAGGCTCTGAGGACTCGTATACTTTAAGGCTTTTGGGCCCAAAGACCATACTATATATAAGGCTTTTGGGCCATTTTGAGCCTTAGGGCCTTAGGGATTAGGGGTTTGGAGGGCTTAGGTTTAGCAAGGTCTACGGCTGAGGGGTTGGCATGGAATCAGACCCCTGAGCCCGAACCTAACTCCAGGTTCGGTGGCTTAGCTTCAGGTTGCTGGCTTCTAAGGTTTGTGAGGGTTTGCAGGGCTTGTCCGGCTTATCTTGGGGGGTTTAGTCTAGGGCTTGGAATTTCGGGTTTGGGGGTTGAAGGGGTAGGACAGTCCACAATCCATCATACCTAGTATTCTGCAATCCAAAGAAGAGCAGATCAACCCTGCAATCCCCACCCACGGCCGCTAGACGCAGACGTACAACGGCAGCATGTGTGCAGGACCCTGTGTGCATACACCGAAGACTATGGGCCCCAAACAGAGGCAAATTCAGGGAAGTATATATACGCATCTGACTCTAAAGCAGCTTTTCTGTAGACCTGCTAAACCCTAAACCCTAAAACCAGAAACCCTTTTTTGCATCCGGCCTTGGGAAGTCGGCCGGGGCATAAACCCTTAACCCAGGCCTTGAATGTGATTTTGGGCCTTTGGGTGCCCAAGGCGTCTTCGGGCCCAGAGAGATCTCTCAGGGTTTGGTTTTGGGGCTCAGCCTCTCGGCCTCTTTGGGCTCGGTCGTGCTTTAGGATACTTCTAGGCTTCTTACATCCTAGACCCAACAGTAACCTGGGAACAGAAAGGGTGCCCTTGTTGGCTTAAAGGGGCTTATAAGGGAACCAGAATTCTAAAAAATGGGATAAGGGCCTACTCTAGGTACTAGTTTGTAAAAGCACATAACACATCCTAGACACGGAACTCGGAAGTCTCTGAAGATGCGGCTGTCACGCCCAGGTCGGTATGGCGGGCGAGCACCGAAAGCCGTCACATATCACTAATCCACTACAACAAACTCAAGTTACTAAAATAAGTAAACAGAAAAACCGAAAGATCGAGCCCCAAGGCCCTGTAAACTCTAAACCCCATAGACCCTCTGTGTATAACCTCACCTCAACAAGATGACCCTTAGAGATTTAGCTGCGGGCCTTCTGAGCTAGGGCAGCCAACCAAATGGAGGTCGACCCGATCCATCCTGAGATTAATGGATTCAGGGTTTCCAGCATGGGAGTTCTCACACGAGCTCTCATGAGGGAGATTGTCGGTAGTTCGAAAGGGTTCGGGTAGGGATTCTAAGAAAGGTCATGTTTTAAGTGTTAACATAGAGGGCTTTGTATCTTTCCAGGGTCAGGTCCGGCATCTGGGGCTTCTCAAAAGTATCGGCCGGTTTCTCATCATCAGGGCTCCCCAGCATTCAGTAGCGGAGGACCCTGCTTGTCAGGGCTCTATTTCGGGAGGACCTGCTGTTTTGACACCAAAAACCTTACAACAAAAACTCGAACACACCTGAAGCCCTTAAACATTAAACCCTGGAAGGCCCACATGATTTTCGGTAGGGCCTACGGCTTCCCGACCACAGAAGTATAGCATATAAAATGAGCAGCTGAGCCAACAAAATATACAGTACATGTACATGTACATGTCTGTTTGTAAGCGTGTATATGTATACAGACACACGTACATGTGCATGTTCGTGTGCATATGGATATTTACATGGATGTGTGTGTGTGTGTTTGTGTGTGTGTATTTGTCTGTACATAGGTATGCATGCATGTATGTACGCATGTCTACTCAATATGTATGTATGTATGTATGTACGCATGTATGATGTCTGCATGTATGCGTACATGGAAATACATATATACATAGACATGTACTTAGAGAGGGCGAAACAGAGAGAGAGAGAGAGAGAGAGAGAGACAGAGACAGAGACAGAGACAGAGAGAGAGAGAGAGAGAGAGAGAGAGAGAGAGAGAGAGAGAGAGAGAGAGAGAGAGAGAGAAAAGAGAAAAGAGAGAAGAGAGAGAGAGAGAGAGAGAGAGAGAGAGAGAGAGAGAGAGAGAGAGAGAGAGAGAGAGAGAGAGAGAGACAGAGAGAGAGAGAGAGAGAGAGTGTGTGTGTGTGTGTGTCTGTGTCTGTGTCTGTGTTCTGGAGTCACAATCCCTATCAACCCAACAGAATAAAGACGGCGGGCTATTGGACCCACGAGCAAAACGAGCATCAAACGGAAAGCTTAACGCTATACCCGAAACTCGACAGACCAAACACAACTTCTTCCACACAGAATGAAAGGCAGCTACTGGGTAAAGCTTTCCGTGCCTGTTGAAAATTGAAAACCCAATAAAAATAATCCAAGCCCCAAACCTGCACACTAAGACCTACAACTTTAGACCCTAACCCCCGCACCTTGAACCCCCATAAGATGCTTTACAAATCCTGAATGCACCCCTTAAAAACCCGCCCTAAGCCCTAAACCCTTGAATCCCTAAACCCCGAACCCTACACTTCCCAAGCACCAAAGCAAAGCTGAAGGCCCGAGAGGCCGCCAACATCAAGAACGATCGAGTCCGGCCTTTTGACGGTTGAGGGTTTAGGGATTTTGGGGTTTGGGGTTTAGGGGTTTAGGGGAGTTTAAGGTTTAGCTAGGGTTTAGGATTAGGGAGTTACAGACTTGGTGATTTAAGGATTTAGGGATTTAGGGTGTAGTCTCGACCCTAATATAGGGGCCTTCGTATTTCGAAGATTGTTTGTTTCAGGGTTCCTTCAAAGGTCCATAGTGCAGGTGCCCAGATATTGGGTCTAGGTCTGGGCAACGATGTGCAACGATCGTAATGCTGTGTAGTATATTCGGAGGAGTGTATTAAGCATCTTGCTAAAAGTTGGGGTTGTAGGGCTTGGGGCTACAGCAGGATCGTGGGCTACAACTTCGTCTGAATACAGGTCACACGTTTCGCCTCTCCGGGCGCCAAAGCGTGAGCTTCTCCTGAGGATCCAGGTACCCAATTTGTATATTCTTAAGCCTTAAAGTAGTCCCCATAATGGTACTTTGTGGCCAAAGTATATCCTTTTGGGGAGTTTCCCGAACATTACGGGCACCTGATTTTGGGGTCCTTATAATCAGGATCCTGATACTATATTCGGGTCCCCTATTCTCGGAAACTCCCATTTGGTTTTAGGGTTTAGGGCTTGGTGCTGTGGGGCCAAAGTATATACTATTTGGGTACATGGACCTTTGGGGTTCTAGTATTCAGGAGATGTGCTGCAACTGTAAGCCAGAGATACGGCAATGGCATAAGTTCTCCGGAATCCTAAACCCGAAACCCTGTGCGAACTATGTAGAGCACCGTGTTTCTCCCGGTTCTGAGCTGAAACCATATGAAAGCGCAAAATAAAGACAGCGTATCAGAAAGCTTGAACCCCAAGACCCAAACCCCTACCCAAATCAAACCCCGGCAGCTTAGCATCAACCCTGAGCCAGTTAGAATGGCAATATCACTCTTGAGAAGTACTTCTCAACCAAGAACCCCTAAACCTCTAAACCCTAAACACCTAACCTGGAAAAACCCTGTACACTAAACACCGGAAACCCGGGCCTTACGAAGCGGCGGAAGATCTGAAAGGTGGACTCCTCCCAGGTTGGGTACGCCGTCCTCCACCAGAACCTGCGGGGTTCAGGAGGAGAAGTTGCAGTAAAATTGCAGCAGCAGCAGTAGTAAGTAGTAGGAGTCGGAGTAGGAGTAGTTTGTACCAAGTAGTAGTCGTCGTCGTCGTCGTGGTGGTATTGGTGGTGGTGGTGGTGGTAGCGGTGGTAGACGTGCTTTTGTTAGGGTTTCATGTTAAGAACCTTCCAAAAATAAAGCAACAGATAGTAATACGGGAGCTGAAGGTACACGACAAGCGTCCCTAAGTGCCACCTCTTTATTTCATCCGTTTGGGGCGGCCGTCGAGGACCTCCTTGTTGAGGGATATGGCGGATGTGAGTCGATTTCCTGGTTTACCGGGGATTTCGGATTTTCGAAGCTCAGGAAGTTAATTGCTGCCCCTCTGTTGATTAACCACTCCTCCGAACTGTCCGGAACATCCATCTAAAGACATCTCAGCCTTTCAACCGTAGTTTTGCCCGATGGGGGCTTCAGGAGCAAGAGCAGGGTTAAGAGCATGAGCAAGCGGAAGCAAGAGCAGCAGCAAGAGCAGGACTTAGTGACTAAGGGCAGGAGCAAGCGCAGGAGCGGGAGCCAGATCGCCCCGGAAGTGACAGTAGAGTGCCAACCCTCCCCGAAGAATTGATTGTGTGTTTCGGTGCGAAGGGGCCCTGTTCAATCTTTAGATGGAAAGGTTCAACGTGTTCAGTTAGGGCTCCAGCTTTTTAGCGAGTGGCTTTCACGAGGGGATACTATGCGAATCAGGTTCGCCCAGCGCTGCTTTCCAGCCTAGTATGATAAGTAATTACCACCCCCGAAGAGCGCGAGGTTGTTCCAGGAAGAGTTCCCTCTCCATGCTACTCAACGAAGGCCAGCCCCGTAAACCCAAAGAACAACAACAAGATGAAACCCCTACCGTGCTACTGAGTTACACCATACACATGCTGTAGCCCAACGAAAATCACGCGGCAGCCTGGCGCCTTCCCATGCTCAGACACCCTGAAACTATAAACCCCCAAACTCTAAGTTTCAACCCCGTAAAGCCCGACTCCTGAACCCTCAAAGCCCAAACCCCTAAACCCCCCAGACCCTGAAGTTAAACCCCTAAAGCCCTAAAGTCCAAATCCGGAAGACTCGGGCCCAAGAATCTAAAACCACGGTCTCCACATGTACAGGAGGACCCTGAAACCCTGAGACCCTAACTGTAGTAGACATTATACAGAACGAAACTATATTATACTATACACATATACTATACTGTGTACACATATACTATACTAGCTAGACTAAGCTATACTGTATGACTATACTAACTATACATTTCTACACTCTCCCCTCTTCTCTTCTACCATACGAAACCATACCATACTATAGTGCTTTGTATAGTATACATCTCAAACCTACAAACTCTCAACGAGGGCTCCGAGGCGAGCCGCGCGTGGCGAGTGGAGGGGTCGAAACGGACGGGAATGCCAACCTGCGGCAAGCAAACGGGTAGGGGGTCTCTTGCACATAAGGCTCTCTGTTGTAGCAGGCGTACACGATACTGCTTGCTTGAGTCTTTGCTAACCTGTTAGTGTCTCTGATCCTCTGAAACTTTTCCATGAAACAGGCAGGTTGGATTCTTGAATGGGGTATACTATCCTAAAACCCAACAACACCTTAAACCCTAGAACCTCAACCTTCATAATGAGAATAGGGTTTTGGGGTACAGTATACTAGTTAAAATAAGGAACCCCCGCAAACTAGTATCGGTATTTATTTAGGCCCCTATACTAAATCCTTGTAAAGGCTCTTATAGCAACCCTTATAACCCTATTCTAATCATCTAGGCCCCTATATTAATATTAGAACCTCAACATCTCGAAGATGACAGCCTTGGGTCGCCCGGGTCCTGACCTTCGTAATGCAAGCGACCTCTGTCGTTGTGCAAGGCCAGGTGCCTCTTGGAGCGACAACATAGGGTTTAGGGTTTAGGGTTTAGGAGGCCAAGGATAGCTTAGGGATTAGGGAATTTTAAGCGTGTAGAGCTTGGGCTTTACGCTCTCGCAACTCGGACGTGACAAAGGAGGTCCCTGTGTTCGGGTGCACAGCTCTAGGGCTTAAGGATATCGAACAGTTCGTGGAGTTGGTGAGTAAGGCCCGAAATACCATTCTACGTGAGGCGCTCTGGATCCATCTGGGCATATTAGGATCCTCTTGAAATTTAAGGCATATTCCTTAATTATGGAGCCTTAAGATACAAAGCTCTGCGGCCGCAGGATGCACTCCACGGCCCGCCCAGCCCTGTGAGGTCGATGCTTCTGGAGAAAGGATCAGCCCTTAGCCCTTAACCTCAAGCCCCTTACCTCTGAGTCCGAAAGTCTAAACCAGCAAAACCTTAAACTTTATGTAAATCCTGAACCTTGAACCCTAAACCCTCTCTCTCTCGGGCGCGCTCGGAGAGAAACCCTAACCCCTGTAGATCGTAAACTTTAAACCCTAAACTCTAGAGCCTAAACCCTAAACCCCCAAACCCTAGATCCTAAACCCTAACCCCCCCCAAAAAAAACGACCCCCAGGGCAATCTTCGGATGCAGGGGCCTCGTAACCTTTGAGGCAGCTTCTTTGTTTTTTTTAGCTCCTTTTTATGTCTGCTCGACTGGTTGAGCTAACATGTTAGCTTAACGATCTTCTTCGGTTTAGGCTTTAGGGTTTCTAGCGTTTACGCTCTCGCAACTAGGACAAGCCAGACGAAGATTGCCCTTTGGGTTCCTGTGTGTTGCTGAAACTTTCATGGCGGCCGTATACGAGTTTACTAGGGCTTCTATGAGGGCATTAGAGGCCTGTATCGTGGACTTGTACGTTTTTTCATCTCGTTATAATCTATTAAAACAATAACCATAAATATTTCAGTATATATACATATATATATATGTACATGTAGCATTTACATAAACATATAATAAAACTACACAGTATATTATCGTGTATATATCGTAGTAAAGTGTAGTCTACTATGGTCTATCTTGTCCATATTCCCTTCAGTGCTGCGTGCCTGTGACCATGGCATCGTTGGCGCAGCCGTCGGAGGCGCCGTGGGGTCCAGGCGCAAAAACAGGTTTAGGGTTTAGGGTTTGAGGGGGCCCGAGAAACCGCCAAAATCCGAATCCGACAGAAGGAAAGTCTGGTAGCGCCCTTCGGGAGGCCACCACAAAACAGTGAAAAGAAAGCGAAGCCTGAATGCGATAGTAGTAGTAGTAGTAGTAGTAGTGGTGGTAGTAGTAGTGGTAGTGGTAGTGGTAGTGGTAGTGGCAGTGGCAGTGGCAGTGGCAGTGGCAGTGGCAGTAGTAGTAGTAGTAGTAGTAGTAGTAGTAGTAGTAGTAGTAGTAGTAGTAGTAGTAGTAGTAGTAGTAGTGGTAGTGGTAGTAGTAGTAGTAGTAGTAGTAGTAGTAGTAGTAGTAGTAGTAGTAGTAGTATAATCGCAGTAGTCGTAGTAGTCGTACTAGTCGTAGTAGTCGTAGTAGTAGTAGTAGTAGAAGTAGTAGTAGTAGTCGTCGTAGTAGTAGCAGTAGTGGTAGTAGTGGTAGTGGTAGTGGTAGTGGTAGTGGTAGTAGTAGTGGTAGTGGTAGTGGTGGTAGTAGCAGCAGCAGTAGTGGTGGTAGTGCGAGTGGAGTCTTATAGAGCTGGTGGTATAGGTAGGCTCAGCACCAGTAGCCGTCGTCTCTGTCACTGTCGTCGCAATGGCAGTAGCGGTAGCATTTCGACTCTGACTGTGCTTGTCGCGGTGGTTTGGGGCTTGATGGCTAGGATGGCGTAAGCCACGTGGCTGCAGACACTGTTGGTGGCAGAGGATATACTACATGTAAGGGCGTTAATAAATAGGATAGGGTTTTGGGGCCCATTGAAAATTAAGCATCAGGACTCCGCAAAGTAGTATTGGTAATGATTCATACTACCCCTATATTACCGAGGCTATGGAGGCCAGGAGGCTAAGATGATACTCTGACGCATGTTGGGTCTATGCAGTAAGCTCCATGCACTAACTCCTTCAAGCATCGTCTTGAACCTCAAAATCCTAAATCCTATTTCTCCCATTCGTGCAAGAGGTCAAGTTTTGGAGCTGCGGCAAATATTGACAACATTGAGACGCTCACAGATGCTGACGGGCTAACTTGCTTGTTTCTATCCCGACCACACCAATCAACACATGTCCGTGGATTACGTGTCTCTTCCTGCCCAGGGCTCATCATTATCTTGATCTGCCTGGTTGTCTTCACAGGTCCACAAGAGTGTAAGCCCCAAAAGACCAAACGATGCACGTGAACACGCACAAAAACAATCACCTAAGCAAGTGCAACGCACATAGAGAGACTGATGTAGGCATGTGTACATACATACATGCATGCATACATACATCTGCATACAGGTATGTTACTTGCGCGTAGAACACTGTAACGTCAAGTGTATGCATGGCCATGTAAACGGAACGAACACCGAGATAGGCGGAAAGAGCACACACACACATCGAGTTCTCATGCTCATGTCACCTGTATGCCTTCCTAATGTAAGAGTCTGCCGATGCTTCTTTGTGCCTTTCTGCAGAGGAGACCTTGACTGACTGAAGGAGAAGCCCAAACCGAGGGCGCACACAAGAGTTACTCCGTATCAACCCTCAACAATCGGCTCCTCTTCACGAAGACAAACGAAAAGAAAACAACAATTAAAACACAGGAACATTGAATCTTCAGTAGGCGATCCGGCACAAAGGCAGCCACCGAGGACGATTCAAGTCTCCAGGAATTTTCCGTACATGGCGCAGCCTTCTATCTATAAAACAGGCGCTCCAAGGTGGAGGACGCGCGGAGAGCGAAGCCTCCTGGCGACGAGGTCTCAGCATCTTAGGAGCTTAAGGCTTCCGGTGTGCTATGAAAGGCATCCGCATCTTGTTTTGGGTCTCCGGGTTGAGAATAGCCATAGGGCGCAAGCGTTTACGAGTTTAGGACTCGAGGGGGCAATGACACTACGTGGCATGGCACCTACACGAATTCTGTCGCCACCGTCGCTTACCCCAGAATCCTGGTACCCTGTACACCTACACGTACCTATGTAGAACATGGGTAACCACATGGCAACTACATTTACATATTGCTTGCTCATAGTGCCACCATAGTGCATCTACGTGACGAAAACTACTATTTGCTTAAGAACCCCCAAAAAATAAAATATATATTCCTTATGGGGGTAATATAGGGATTATTATTTTTATTTTTTGGGGGTTTCTTAAGCAAATAGTAGAAAAAGATTGGCAGCAAGAGACCCGAGGCACAAGAAGCAAACTTCGAGGAGGCTACAAGCCTATGCGGCTCCCTTGCCCGACATTTTCTGTGCAAACCCACGAAACATGATTTTGGGTGTATCTTGTGATTCACAAGGCTTTCCTTATGGTATAATGGGCCCCAAAACACTATTGTAATCACTAAGGCCCCTAGAATATAGAATTATAGTACCCTTATAGCCTTCTAGGTCCCTTCGAGAGCACAGGTTAAGGGTTCTTGGTTTCAGAGTCGTGTGCAGTCTTGGACCTTGAAATTTGCAGTGAGCCGCCTCGACACAAGTGTCCAAAGCCGACCCTCGAATACCAGCACGACTACCCGAGACTTGAGCACCAATCTATCTAGTGGCTCTTGAAGCTTTAGGGAAACTTCACAAGTGATCGGATTCAGTTCTTTTGCGGTTTTGAAGCATGTGCTCCCACGTGCCAAGTCCCTTGCAGCCCCGAAACCCTAAGCCCATCAAGCCCGAAAGGGAACCGCACTTGCCAGCTTGTGGAAAATCCGCCGACTGGTCCATCAGCTCGATACTCGCAAATGCAACAACACCTAGCTGGAAAAAGGGTTGCATGCCAGGGTACTATAGCTAAGAAGAAACCATGAGAAGGTATCGTCTCTTGCAGTGGACGGATCTCCACCAGTGAAGGTGGGAGTAATTTCGGTGGAGTCATAGTTTAAGACTGTCAGCTTGAGTTGACGGATTCCACCGTAGTAGAAACTTTCCCACGATTCCCAACTGCCTAGATACTGGGTTACTTTTATACAAGTATAGAGTTGTGCACGTAAGGCCATGGAGAGAGCAGCATTCTCCATTATGACGATACCGGCTGCTGGGTAACACCGTCTTGAAGAATTTGCAATATAACACCCCTATAGTCCCTGCTAGAATTATAGAATAATATGCCCGCCGAAGACCTAATCCGGGTAGAACGGCCCAAACTACCATCACATCTTACCTGTCCAGTCTCCCAAGGGGGAACTAAAGGTCAACCTTAGGGAATATATAGGATTTTCTACTGTACCCCAAGAAGGGTAAAGGGTGCCGACTCTACTTCTAGGATATTGGGGGTCTCTCTACGCACTCCATACGACCCTCGATCGAAGGTACTCCTTAAGCGAGTTACGTAAGTGGGACCTGTTTGGCTTCGTCGGCATCAGGTACTTATCTTAATTAACAGTCATGAGGCTGTGCGGGAAGGGGAGAATAGGATCTAAAATTCCTCGTAACTTGTACCCAGTCCAAAGAAAACCGTATAAATGCATCTACATGTGCAAACACATGTGGATAACAAAGGTTAGTATGCCATATATATATATATATCCACACGCACAGCCTGACTATTCGAGGGAGGTGATCGGAAGAGTCTCGGGCAGGACCCGGCGCGGAAGCCGCGCTTCCTTCAACCAGCTGTAGCTTGGTTGGTGATTGATCTTCACCGCAGCAAGCGGCTTCGATTGAGGACCATTTAGTTAAGCTTTAAGGCTCAAACCTTATTGTGACGACAACTCTCTTCATTGAGGCTAACTAAAAAGTAAACAGTTCAGGTGCTAAAGAGCATATTCCCGCAAACCCGGACACTGAACTGAAGGCTTCAACGATGGTGGACTTTCCGGTAAAAGTCCGAGGAGCAGGTGGCTCTCGCAGGATACACCATTGCTGAGTTTAGGATCTGGGTTGCTCAGACAAACTTCAGGCTCAGGCTGTTGCGTTCATAAGCCCCCAGCGGATTCAACTATCGGGCACCCTTCTTTTACCGCACCCTGCAAAGATAAACGCATTTCTCTAGCTTCGGAAAGCAGCAGAAGACCAATCACGGCCCAAAGAGTAGCTTGGCAGAAGCTGCAGATCTCCGGTTACACGTTGCAGGCGGCTTAAAGGCCTGTAACACCTCGAACCCCGAATTTACCACCGCATAGTATTTCCTGTGATATCAAGGAAGTTCAGGGTACGGTGCAAGGCTCCACTTCAACACGGCACTGAGCTCCCAACATTATCACCAACCGGTTCTAAGTTGCTAAAGTGAAACAGAACCCTATACTAGACACTGCGATGTGGGAGTTTCCAAAAAAATAATGTAAAGAACCCAAATATAGTACACTAAAGGATAGGAGCCTTACTAGAAGGACCCCAAAACAAGGTACCCCTAATTCTCGGAAGCTCCCACATGGGACTCGGGGTCATGGCCATAGCATATCTTGTTTTCCGCAGCACACACAGCCCACGGCCCTGTACTATTCGATGCAATCGCTCCTGGTTTCAGTCGTCACGTCCCCCAGCAAAAGGCGCTAAGTGCAAATGTCTAGGGTGTGGGTTCATCTTAGATCCGGGCTTGTCTGCAGCATCTGCAACACGCCTGCACACCGTCTCAAGTGAGACTTGGAAACCCTGCTGTGTGCTGACTAAATATGTTGGGTTTACGAAGAGCCCTGCCTATTCATGGAAGGGTAAAAAGAACAAAATCTAGGATCTACGCTCCGGAGGAGATTTGGAGTGTCGAGTTTCTGCAGTTTTGTGATCGGGGTGTAGTTTCATCAGGAGATCAATGCCAAATTGGCACGAGTGACATGGCGTAGGCCATGTCTGCACATGATCACCCCTAGACTGAACCAAGCCTTAGACCAAAACACTCAATCCATTCGCTTCATATGTTGGACGTGTTGTTTACCTTCTTTCTATTCCACGTGTGATCTTCTGCAAAACCTGATTACCAAAAGGCCCCAGACAAACGTTTGAT